GGTAGTCGGAAAGATGCCCTAAATTACAGGCCAGTGTCACTTACATGCATTTTATGTAAATTATATGAAAAATTAGTAAGGAGGCATATTATGAGTTTTGTTAGTAAGAAGATAAATCCAAACCAGCATGGATTTGTAGAAGGTAAATCTTGTTTATCTAATCTATTAGAGAGTGTAGAATGTATCATCGAACTATTAGAAGATGGTGCACCCGTAGATGTGTTTTACTTAGATTTTTGTAAAGCATTTGATAGTGTTCCACATCATAGACTACTTACAAAAATGAGAAATTTGGGTATAAGTGGTAACACTTTAGATATTGTGAAAGACTTTTTATCTGGAAGAAGATTTAAGACATTTGTTGGTGGAGCATATTCCTACCTTCGTGATGTTTTATCAGGCGTCCCACAAGGGTCTGTTTTAGGTCCTTTATTGTTTGTCATTTTTATCAATGACTTGCCTGATTGTATTAATGGTATATCAAAACTGTTTGCAGATGATCTTAAAGTTATTATGGATGCCAATGACACTGAAAGCACTTTCAATATGTTAGAAAGCTTGCAAAACTGGCAAAATGTGTGGCTGTTAAAGTTTAATCCTAGCAAATGCAAAATAATGCATGTTCCATTTAATGAAAATCCCCTTCAAGAATATGTATTTAGTGGTGTTACACTTGAATGTATTGAAGCAGAGAAAGATCTTGGAGTTTTAACTTCTTCAGATTTGAAATGGTCGAAACATATTAAAAGTTGTATTAGTAAAGCAAACAGTATGATTGCATGGGTTACAAGGAATCTCATTGTAAGAGAAATTAATGTAATGAGAAATGTTTATAAAACTATAATAAGACCCCACTTGGAGTATTGTGCTCAGTTGTGGTCTCCACCTGCCTGCCATGGGAATTGGGCTACTATCATTGAACTGGAAAATGTCCAGAGAAGGTTCACACGCCTTATTGATGATATTGGAACACTTCCTTACAGTGAAAGGTTGGATGCCTTACAGATTACAACACTCGCAGAGAGACGGGTTAGAGGAGATTTGATTGAAGCCTACAAAATTGTAAATGGATTGGTTGAGTATGGAAAAGATATTTTCAATTTAAGTAGATCGGGAGATAAAATTGTTAGCACTAAATCTAACAATATTGATAGAAATATTAAAACCTTGTCTAATAATTTTTTATCAGAGCGTGTTATCAGCTTTTGGAATAAATTGCCATCTTTTGTTAGAAATTCAGTGTCTGTTATTGATTTTAAAATTAATCTAGAAGAATTTAAAAAGACTAATAATTTAGTAGACACAGGCAACTTTTGGGAAGTGTCAAATATAGTTTTAGCAAAAATAGAGGGTGTAAATTATATCGAAAAGAAGAAGCAACAAGTCCGATATTTATATAAAAATCCGTGTGTTGCCAAGAGAAAGGGAATAAATATCTCATGAATTTGTTTTTATTTATTTATTTTTTAAATTAACGGTTTTAACTTTTTAAACTTTTTTATATGTAAATAAATTATGACAATTATGTTAGTTATAGAATTTGTTTGTTTTTTAATGACGAAGGCTGTGAAATGTTCACAGTTCTGATAATGAGGAAATCAGAAAGAATGTTTAAAACTAGTGATGATGTTTATGTCATTATTCTTAATCTAATCTAATCTAATCTAATCTAGTCCTTCTGTGGAAATATTAATATTTAAATCAAGGTAATTAATGATTTTATTATTGGAACCAGCTCGCTCCATCTCCAATGAATTAGGATAAATATCTTTAATCAATTTATGAAAGTAAAGGTAGTTAATAATAGATAAATCGTCAACATATCGTTTATTATTGGATAATATCTTTGCTAATCCCATTTTCTTTTCCTGAAGTAAACGTTTCATATAATTAAATTCCTTTTTGCCAACAGTGAGATCAGCTATAGGGGAACTTGAATTTCCACCCATAGGAATACCCTTGGTTTGTATGAATACAATCCCACCGAAGACGACATAAGTGTTATAAATAATAAATTTAACAGCCTCTTTTAGGTCATCTTGACTAAAGCAGGCATGAGCATCATAGGTTTTATTGGAAAAGAAACATGTATTACTGTCTCTTTTAGACTGAGGCCCCGCCTCAGTCTACGCCCCGCCTCAGTCTACGCCCCGCCTCAGTCTCTTTGCTCTTGTTGTTGTTCGTTTCACTTTATGTACAAGAGTGCAAAAAGATTTGCACACATAGCTAACGATTGGTGTGCCAACAGTCAGGTATACGGTAAATCTTCTTTTACTTGTTCAAGCATCAAACATTATGTTTCAGCTCAAAGTAATTATTTTTGCCTCATTTGCTGCATTTCTTGTATCAACTCCAAAATTTGACTGACGGTATTAATCCTTCCACTTTCAAAGCTCGGCATGGCCTTGACGATATAGCGCGCCGCTCTCTTTTCGAAGTGTCACGAAGTACGTAGTGCGCGCTTGTATCACGTCGTGACCCCCACTGTCGTTTCACTAAATGTTTTATGATCGTTTTTACGATACAGGGATAGCCGCGCACTTGTGCGCGGCGGGTCATACAACGTATGACACATGACAAGTGCGCGGCGGGTTTATAGTCCATTAACAATGGACTTGTATCACGTTGCGACCCCCACGGTCGTTTCACTATGTAGCGTCTTCGACGCTACAGGGGGAGCCGCGCACTTCGTGCGCGGCGGGTCATACAACGTATGACAACAATGGACAAGGTATGGCCCTGTGGTGCATCGATCTAACAAATATGGTTGTGAGAAACATTATTCATTATTTGATGCGCTGCGCGGCCCAATAATGCATTGCGCTTTCAAATAGCCATGACACATTTTTAGCGCAATGCACTTGCTCTAACCACTAACCATAGCCCTCTCGCTTGCAGTGAAACAAGCGCGTCACGCAGTACGCGTAGACACATGGCTATGTGAAGCAATGCACTACTACTGGGCCGCACCGCGCATCCAATAATGTTTATAAAATATCGCAGCTACATGAGCTGTAGATCGGCAAAATGCATTACAGGGCTTGCTCTATCAAGAGCCCTTGCGCTTGCAGTAGCGCGCGCCCGCCTCACGGCGGTAAGAAGGCTTTTCTTGACTTGTAGTAGAGGCTCTTACGGGCAAAAAGACGTGTTTTCTGCTACGAGTTTAGAGACCTAACCGCTAATTGGACACAATAGTATGATGTCTAAGGATCGATAATATGTTAAGAAGTATAAATTTGGACTTATTAGTCACGTGCTATACCAATGCGCGTTTTAAACTTTGACAGTCTATTACTCTAAGGCAAATAGAGTAATTATATTCATATTTTGTCAGCAATAAGATCACATTATTTTCTATTTAGTATGAAAATATGAGCTAGAACGGACATAATCTCGCTGAGTTATAGCTGTTTGAAATTTATGATGAACGCGCGGGTGCCAATTGATAACAACTAAATGCTTTTGCGCGTAGTGCGCGTCGAAAATTTGGCAAAAACGCTTGCGGAGTGACAATATTCAAACTTCGATAAAGTATATGAAGTGGGTACTTCTCGGAAAGGAAAAATTTAGGCAAACACGATGTGACTATTTTTGGGTTGATTTAATACAACTGCAAAAAATTATTCAAACTTCAAGCAAAAAAGTCAAAATTTTTACCACTTTTTTGGATTTTTACCTCAGAACAAATAGAGGGATTTGTTTTATTTTTATACAATCTTGTGCGGCTGTCTTTTAGCTATCTTTATGCAAGTTTTGCCGACATGCCAACAAAATTAACTTGCTCAAAATATCAAAAAACATGGTTTTTTGGCCTATTTTTGGCCCAAAAATCGGTTTTTTGCGATTTTACCCCAACACAATCAGTCCAATCATCTTGAAACCACTTTCAATCGATTCTACGGTCAAAAATACGTCTAGTAAGGTGTATCTGGGGTCCCTAACGTATCGAGCAGACAATGCCCGTAAGAGCCTCTACTATTGTGAAACAACTACAAGCGCGCCCGAAGTGGCGAAATTACAGGGCCTTATCGAGCTGCGAAGGATTCAGATTTTGCACGGCTTTAATTGGTTCTGAATGATCACGTGAATGCTAGTCACGTGCGCTTTAACATCCAATGCAATGAGCATTCGCACTTTTTTCAGGGCGATTGAGGTCGTAATTCATTGAGTCCTTGACGGATGTTACTCGTCTAAATTTCTTCGAAGTAGCGCACGCCGCTTTCTTCTCGAGCTACGAAGTAGCGCGCGCCGGGCCAGATCATTAACAATGGTCAAATTGGGATTTTACTAATTCACTCGCCAGCGCGCTATCACGTGTTTTTAATGCCGTGATTTCATTGGTCACCTCAATAACGCGCATTATTTGTGACAGCACAGTTGTTTTCACACAATTTGTCCACCGCGCGTGCAATAAACTCAATTTAAGCTCCGATTTGTGACCGAAATGGCCGAATGGGCTATAATATGGTTTATGCAATGCATGGCCGGTAATTAGCTAATTGAATTTTAGGCACTGTAGGTTGCATAAATTCACGAATTATCAATAATATGCAATAAAATTATTCCTGCAAGTTTTAATTCATTTAAGGTTTTATAGATCTTGTTGGTCAAGGGTAAAATATAAGCAGTATAATAAATCAATATCGAATTGTTTTCAGTTTTTCATCGCGAACAGATACCACTATTTCAAGTTGTTACACGGCCAAGGATAAATCTCACAATTGTTTAGATTTGTAGCTCTGTTTATCAACGGTGAGATTTCTGAAAAGGGCAATTGAAATTGAAATCGATTTGACTCTTAAACGTGCTTCAGCTCCAACTGTTAAATAGATCCACATTCTACATTCTACCAGATTCTTATCTACCTAGATTCTACCATAATATATAGTCGATATATTATATACGTATACCAGAGCACGTCACATTTCAATAATTTTACAATATGTTATTTTATCAGCTACATATGTTCGAAGGATTAAAACACTTTTATGACGGTGCTGTTAGAATAACAGAATATTTACGCTATAAAACAGTTGACATCAAGAATATTATAACATTACCAAACTAAGTAAAAAATAACAACTGTCCAATGTCCTAACCATGAACCTGACCAAAAATGTCAGTAAATATCAGTTTATTCGAAATCACAGTCATATCACTATGAAGACCCGTGTATTAGCCCGGTAGGTGAGGTATAATAGAGCCGGCCAGCCCGGTAGGTGAGGTCCAGTAGTTGCCCGGAGGCGGTGTAGAGTTGGGTGATGAGGTCTCCTCCTGACACGTTGTACATTCCTTTGTGTGGTTCCTCCTTCTCTCCTTCCTCTTCTAGAATATCTGAGGGGGGAGGGTGATCACAGAGTAGGGAATGTATAATAAGGGATATTTTATAGTAGTGCTGTCACGTGACAAAAATGAGCTCTCGTTCGTTCATTACTTAGCCACGACCTGTCGACCGTTTTTGGAGAGGTTTATTAACTACTTCTATCTTACTCACTATAATTACTACAGTATTAGATCAGGGTCAGAGACGGGTTCAATATTAGGATATATAAGCTACAGGAAAAGAAGATTAATTTTTATTAACGGCACTCTTCCCACAAACACCACGTACCGGGAAGAACAAGTCTAATTTTAGAGGTTGGTTTCCATCCAGCCACATCAGTGCTCTGAATAACAGCAGGACGTTGATGTTCCATGGTCTGGACTAGCGTACCACTTTTCCACCCTGGGGTGAAACAAGAGCTCCAGCTCGTACAAACTGCAGTCTTTACCAGTGGAAGACTTGAGGACTGAGGAGTTCTATCAGTTTCTCTATCAGAAGGATTAGGTCCTTGTAGGAGCTGGAGCTAGCAGGGAGGTCTCCGTACATGCCTGACCAATATGTTAGTTTGAGAAATACACAAACAATCATCAGTTTAACAAAACAATTATTACACCAAACAATTATTAATAAAGTGAGGTTATAACTGTAAGCTTGTTACACCCCGCAATATCACTACCGTCCGGAACAATAATTGTTTTAAGTTATGATATTAAGTTTAACATAAGTTAATAGAATATTATTATATAAGTTACGATCGATTGTAACAAACCTGCAACATGACATTATTACAGGGAAGCCTCCGGGTGGAAAAACTCAGTACCATGGGGGGACTTCTGGCAACGTTCCAGGAACTTCTTAGTACGCTCTTCTCGAACCTTCTTCATGTGCCGCTGAATCACTTTATTAATAGTTTAACTTTAGTCCAAGAATAGATTCGTAGAAAAATTAACCAGTAACTGCAGATTCCAATTAAACTAAAAAGTCATTGGTTACTAGTTATTAGTTACTACTGTTACTAGTTACTAGTTACTAGTTACTAGTTACTAGTTACTAGTTACTAGTTACTGATTGGAACCAGCTTCGTTTACTGGTTAATGTTTACCCAAGTATTCATACATACAATTATATAGAATAGTTATATACCTAAATCTGCTAATATAAAACCATAATAACTCTAAAAATATACATGTACACTGCGCAAAATTATGGACCTGGAAGTAAGACTAAATACTTCAGAGCTTAATACACAAATCAAAACAAAATTCTAGAAGACTGACAGTCTTGTGTTGAAAGACGAATGTGATTTAGAAGCTTATCAAAAAATTAAAATCTTAGCGAGCCACGAATCCATAAATCCAAACAAAACTCTGTCTTGACACATTTCAAACAACAGTTTTGTCCACACTACACACTTTGCCTCCTTTAATGAAGTGTCTCTTATATCTCTCTCTTATATCTCTTATATATCTGGCTCGTCGTTTGATCTCTTCTTGAGTTCTAAAACAAGCTTTTGTTGTTCGGCACGTTCCTCTGGAGACCTATCCGGACTGATAAAGACTTTACCGAAATGCTCCGAGCTACGGAGATGCCTTGCTCTAGTCAAAATCTGCTGCACGATTGTAGAGCTCGTCAAAGTCACCTTAACAGGTCTATCAGCCACCTGTTTCTTATCCTTGGATTTGATCAAACCAATTCTGCTAGCTTCTATTTTTGGCTTTTCACCAAGTTCCAACAACACTTGACCGACCTTGTCACATAACAGCTCACCTTTCTCTCCTTTAAGACCAAACAACATCAGATTCCGACTTCGGTCTCCTTCTGCTACAACATCCTTAATGACATTCTTCAAGATGTTTCTATCCGAATCCAGCAAAGGACCTGCTGTTGAGGTTTTTGATTCCTTTACCGCGGCGCTGTATGTCTTTAACTCGGATTTCACAGTATTCTCAACTGATGCTACAACCTCAGATTTCAAGTAATCAAGCTGCTCGTCTTTGACAGCTAGCAGCTCTTTCTGCAATACAACTATTGTCCCCTGGCTGTCAATTACATCGGAGTGCAATTTCTGGTTATACTTCTCCATCTGATCAATGTACAATGATTGCCTATACATAATTTTTAACGCAGAATTGAGACTCTGAGCCATGACTTCCCTAGTGATTTCTCTTCTACCAATGAAACCCTGAGCTACAGTCTACACACGCGTTAACATGATTTGATTTAACAAGCCCGAGAGTTTTCCGGATCCATTCAGCTCCATCATCCCTCACTTCATCAAGCTTATAAGCCACGTATTTCTCAGATTTATACATCACACAACCACGGCACCGGTTAAACAAGCAAGTCTTATCAACGTAATGATAAGTAACTGATAAGCGAGCAACAACGTATTGAAAAGCGTATTTACTGAACTGAAAAGTGTATTTACTGAACTGTTACTAGTTACTAGTTACTATAGTAGAACAATCAGTAAGCTTATCTACTACCTGTTATAACACTGGGTATCACTATAGCAGATGTAATGAAGATCACGGTAGGCTCAAAACGAAATTGACTCTTATATCAGTAATACATAGTAACAAACCTGCCATTATTACTGTCCGGAGTCCCGGACAGGAGGATCCAATGAAATTACCTCAGCAACCAGTTGAAAAGCCAGGAAATTGACCAGAAAATCAATAACATGATACAACAATCCTGAGTAGAGTTGAGAACCTAAGGTTTTTAGGTCTTGATGTCATTCTGAATCCTCTCAGTCAAAGCCAAATAGTGGAAAGCAATAATATATAATGGTGGTAATTGGTACCCTCGAGATTAGCGCTGATCAAGAATGCCAACAGGGAGTAACAAAGAAGAATAAACCGAACATCCCAGTTGAATTTCTACTGCAAATTAACTTGAACACACGTCTGTAGGGTACCACGTGACACGCAATCTGGCCAATAAGCTATCGAATAGCAGTCACGCTGCCCAATCAGAGGGCTGGCTGTTAGTCGGGTGCGGACCACTTATGCCAGTCTAGCTGACGCCAAACAATTATAACACTGAGTACACTCAAATTCATAATTTCCAAATGTGGAGCTCTAAAAGAACAAATAGGAGCCTTGGTTCCTACACCCGAATCTATGTATTACACATAAAAAAGCTTAAACCAAGATTATCTTAGAGATATATCTCCAAATACCATTTAACAGGGAGGGAGGGAGGGAGGGAGGGAGGGAGGGAGGGAGGGAGGTAGGGAGGGAGGGAGGGAGGGAGGGAGGGAGGGAGGGAGGGAGGGAGGGAGGGAGGGAGGGAGGGAGGGAGGGAGGGAGGGAGGGAGGGAGGGAGGGAGGGAGGGAGGGAGGGAGGGAGGGAGGGAGGGAGGGAGGGAGGGAGGGAGGGAGGGAGGGAGGGAGGGAGGGAGGGAGGGAGGGAGGGAGGGAGGGAGGGAGGGAGGGAGGGAGGGAGGGAGGGAGGGAGAGAGGGAGGGAGGGAGGGAGGGAGGGAGGGAGGGAGGGAGGGAGGGAGGGAGGGAGGGAGGGAGGGAGGGAGGGAGGGAGGGAGGGAGGGAGTTGGTCGCATAATGACAGTAGAAATGATTGCAATGATTCTAAACTTTTCAATAGTTTTAAGGTTCAAAATTAAACATTAACGTGCGAGGTTGCGGTAATTTCTTTAATTATGTTTTCTAGTCAGGTTTACAACTCGGTGTTACATTGGTTTTCGTCCTGGTCGACAATGCAAAATACAAAACAGTAAACAGTGCCACATAGAAAAGTACTAAAATCATACATTTTTCTTGGATGCATGTAGCTCTCATGACATTGAAACCATAAAAAAAGCTTACGAGAAGGGTATCACTTTAAGGCAAATGACAGATGACAGAGATATTCAACAAACTGCAAGCGATAGGTTTATCAGAAGGCATAATGCAGAGAGCGAGTGAAAAAGAGGAAGGAACAAAAGTTTGTATCTGATCTCAATCACACGCCAGCGCGCTATATCACGCGCACGTGACTTAAACACTGCAATATCATTGGTCATCTTTATATCCAATGCGAAATACAAAATAGCGCGCTTTTCCTATAATCCATGGCGAGTGAATTAGTGAAACCGCTACTTTTGCTCCAAAAGCCGCGCACCATCAAATATGGCACCTAGGCGAAACTCACTGATCTTTCCAAAAAGGTATGACAAATTTGGTATTGTGAAAATTCTCACAGTCTCTAGAAAACAGTGGTACAAAAATTTTTAGAATCCGAGCAAGTTTATTTTTATCGTGCACCCCCTACTAGTAGCATGAAACGTGGAGAAAAGTGCTTTTCAGAAAAACTGAAAAAATTTGTACTAATTTTCGGTCCAAGTCATTCTCGATACGTACCTCTCGTATCGAGAGCTCCCGTTTCCGAGCTCGTGTTGCAAAGGGCCGAAGGCCAGCCTTCCGAGATCGTATTACCAGGGGAAGCCTCGAGTCCAAAATTGTGTATCGAGGGGTGGGTGCGGACTTTGAAAAGCCAATTAAAAAATATTTTCGGCTAATAATGAACAGGGTAGCATGAAATGTGGAGAAAAGTGGTTTTCATAAAAACTCCGAAAACATAGTTAACAATTTTGTCCCAAACATTTTTAGAAATAGAACCCTAAATAAAAAAGTTGGCCCTTTTTGGTCCCTTGCCCAGATTTTATGGGGGGCGATGGATGCACTGGATTTTCTCTTGTTACTGCACACAAGTGTCAGATTTAATTTTACTGAAACTTAAGTCTCACCCGTATTATTAATTAGTTGCTTATATTAAAATCTGTTTCAGATGTAGAAGGTAATGGATAGCAGCGTCTAGAAATGCCGGCCACTGTACAACTGAGAAGTGCTCCTTTGTTGCCCTCCTTCTCCAGACACTACATGTCAATAGTCCGAACAAAAAGTTTTAATATAAGTAACTGCTAACGAGGGATTGTCGTTGAGAAAGGCATTTAAAAGACCAATCCAGAGCTTTCTGCCTTCAAAATGTTTTTTTCACAGCAGACCATCAAGTTTTACAACAGATAGAAACAGAATCCTTAGCAAACTGTGCCCAGCCCAAAACCTACCAAATCAGACTGATTAAAGCTGCTCATATCTGCTAAAGTATCAATTAAAAATCAATGTTATAGCTGAATACAGCGACGACTCCGAACTAATCGATGAAGATGCGATGCTGGTCGCTTCTTGTATTAAAAATAATCTGAGACAAACAATGTTATTACTATAACATTGTAGCATAACGACGCTTTGCGTATAGCTGCTTTCCCATTTCTAATTATACATTTCATCCTATAGTACAACTTGTAATATGATTAACTAATCAATATTAACCTAACACTAGAGAAGCTTTTTGATGAAAATAGTAAACAACTTGTTTCAGTTCAAACTAAATTAAAGGTCAGACCGGGATTCGAACCATCAGCTAGCACGGTCAATCGCCCTCTTAGCCAACTATGCTATCGTGCCGGCGGCCGAAAATCAATGTTAACTATCATATTGTCGTGCTCGCGCATTCCCTACGCAAAGTTATTCTATGACGATGTATATTTTTAGCCATTTTGGGGCTATTGCGCGGCGCGGAAGTTTTAAACCGTCTTAACTCTGTCCAGGAACAGTCTCCAGAACTGATTAAACTTGTGATTTCCTAGTCAGAGGATGTACTTTACGAAGATATATGATTTGTCATACCTACGTCTACACAGTGGAATCACAAATGGGTATAGTCGCGAACGCAAAGAAACCGCAGGGCCCCTGTCCCCCCTGTCCCCCCCCCCCCTTCCTACACTAATTAAAAAACTGCTTGATCAGATACGACAGTTGCGCCCAATCGATATATCGAAATCCCTCCAATTATAATAAAAGTAAACTTTATTCAATAAAAAATCGTACGATCATATTCATAACGATGGACGCAAAGCTACGAAGAATTAAAAGTAACCTATCTTTACCCTAGCACAAACTCCCAAAGTGAGTTATCGAGGATAATATGCGATTGTTCAGGGATATATGTATTCTTCAGAGCGGACTGTTATACAATTACAGGGAATACAGTATTCGTCCGAACTTCATTTTTAGATTTTGCACATTTATTTATAATGTAATTTTACTCCCTCCAAACGTCCAAACCGAATTTTGATGCCACAAGTTGCATTACGTTGAATCAGGTGATTGGGTTGGCACTAGATCCCCACTATGGGAATCGTGCAGAAAGCCCAATTACGGTATCCTAGCACCCTGTCACATGATTAGCAATTAGCGATTAGGTAATCAATGAATACCCAATCAAATCTAGAACCTTCCACGACATTCAGATTCAGAAGTCGTTTTATTAGCGGAGATTCAATGTGCAGAAAGCCCAATTACGGTATCCTAGCACCCTGTCACGTGATTAGCGATTAGGTAATCATTGTTTACCCAATCAAATCTAGAACCTTCTACGACATTTAGATCAGAAGTCATTTTATTAGCGGAGATTAAATGCAGTAAAAAAGTGGTAAATAGTGGCTATTCTTTAAAAATGTCGAAAATTGTACTAGTCCAAAATATTGAAAGTGAAAATGTTCAAAAAATTTATTAAAATTAGTTCATCATACGTTTTACGTAATTATAAGCAGGAGTATCATGGTAGGATATGCCAATTGCATATCATTTCTGATGGTAGGATATGCCAATTGCATATCATTTCTGATAATAACTTGTCTAGGCTTGTTCCAACGTTCTGCTTGTTGATTTGATATTTGACCTAGATGTATTATACTGCTAGGCCTAAACAGTAACTGTAAACATCATCGGCCTGTTCGTATAAGCTTACACTTATTGTGTAATTACAAACTATGGCATATAAAGATTAATATCATAATTGATAATGGTAAAAGCCCAATAATAAGGATTAATTTAAATTTTCCGGCAAGATCCGGCACGTTCCGGCAACCTTATAATTATTTGCCCTTCCTAACAACCGGTTCCGGTCCGGCAAAATCCGGCTAACCGGATAATAGATATCCGGCAAAATCCGGTCCGGCAGCCAAAAGCCCATTCCGGTCGGTTCCTACTCACAATGCAATGCAACCGATCCTGATAGTGATAATTGGAAATGATAAATAATGAAATAAATTCCATTTGCATCTGTTCGCGATCTAGGATATTGAATTTCCTAAATCATCCCCAGCGCGTGGGACGCGGTTTTTCTAGTATAAAATTATTATAGTTGTGAGTTGGCAACGTTATAATTTATTTTTGTTGAACTTCGCGACTTCAACGAAGTCCTGAGGGCAAGTTTTCAAGAATTTATCAATGTTTTAGCACGTACTGATATCTGGATATTATCCGGTTGGAAGAGACAAGGACAAGTGAAACAAGGAAGTTAGGAGTAAGGGCAAATTTTCGGCGTCAACGCCATCTTCAGGCTCAAATTATTTGTTATATAGTAGTGTTGAAAGTATTAATACTTTCAACACTACTATATAACAAATAATTTGAGCCTGAAGATGGCGTTGACGCCGAAAATTTGCCCTTACTCCTAACTTCCTTGTTTCACTTGTCCTTGTCTCTTCCAACCGGATAATATCCAGATATCAGTATTTCAATCATGAGACTAATAAACAGCGAACTACTCCGTTATTTGATATTTTAGCACGTACTATTGCTTTATAATTATATTAAGATTAGAATTGTTAATTAGGGATTTTTTCAAAAAGCAACTCTCATCATCCTATGACAATTGAGTGTCGCACAGCACTTGTTTTATAGTAGCAGGAGTAGGAATCTCAAATTATTTTCTAATATAATAATATGTAGCACTAGTATATATTATGTAGTAGTATTGAAGACAAATAAAACTCACGTGTATCAAATTAAAGATATCAAACATAAAAATTTGAAATTGCCACCAGCGAGCGCGCGCAGAGCTGCTGCTAACAGTACCAATAATAATATTATAATTATAGACTTCTGAAATCGGACTCATATTATAATATAATTATAGTATTTCCTTGTTAATCATGATCTCGTGGTTGGTAAGAGTTTAACATATTTCGTAAGCAGTCTAGTGGTTCATATTCATAAAAATAACGCTTATGTAATTGCTGTGAATGATCTCTTGCTGGATTCATTTCATCACGATGCAGATATTTGTTGATACATGCTTCGGCGAAAAGTGGCATGCAACGTATGTCAAAATATTTGCTGTTATCAATATTCGTATAAATCAATTTAATGAAAAGAATAATTATGAACCTGAAACCGATAATCTTTGTTAGCTTAAAATTAAACTAAAATTACAGAGTTACATTAAAAATTAATAATTCAAATTTTTACACAATCGTAAGCTTAAATATGACCAACCTTTCAGGTGGCAACAATGGACTTAAATTTTTATCGCGTAATCAGTGAAAGATAAAAAGCATTATATTATTAACAATTAACAGTTAATAGATATTTCAAATAGAGATCAATAAACGAATATTACCACGCCGTAAAAAACGTGAATCATATCATATTTAATTTAATTTCTTCATGCTGTTTCGGACTCGATTCATCTGATTACAAAATTTGTAAAGTTCACAATCGTTTTATTTATTTAACTCACAAATTATGATTCAATAGATTCGGCTACCATGATATGAGCGAGGAAGCTATTTTCATCGACACGTGAAGACGCAAATTTCGTTTTTAATGGTCGATACTGCAAGCTGATTGTTAATCGCAGCTGGCCTATAAACGAGTATAATATATCACCACCTGTTAATTACTTTCACTAACAGATGATAAGTAATTTAAGCCTATTTAAGCTATTTATTTAAGCAATATATGCAAGCATCTGTTAAGGAAATAATTTAAATCCATATAAGGAAAATGTGGGCATGGATTATGGAATTGGAAAAGCACATAATTTATCTAAACGTTATATCAAAACCTGTGACGTCACATCAAAATTTATGACGTCACATCAAAACCTCTGACGTTACACCTCATACTCTGAATCACTGCTCAATGATTTCAAAATAAACTCTCTTCCTTCGAGATTGTCCCTTGATTTCTTATAATTGTTCCTCTTAATTTTGTCGAGGGAACGTTCCGCTACTCTTTTTAGCGACGCCAGCTTATTCCTTAGCTTTGCCTCAGCACTGAAATATAAATGAAATATAAGTGAAATATAAGTAATTTATTTAAAAGTTTACGATTTAAGAAATGTAAAAAAGATTCGGTTTGATGGCCAACAAGCGGCAGTCACATTTTTCTTTTTCTAATTCTTCTTATTTGCACATAAAGTAAGGGCCTATAACTAGACTATAGTAGGGGGTCAGTGCACGATAAAAATAAACTTGATTGACGATGTCAACCAATCGAGATCGTTGCGAAGATCGTTCGCGTTGCGAAGCTAAGATCGTTGCGACGATCGATGCGAAGCTGAAACAAGAATGCTAGTTCGCGCGGCATTCTTGCGGATTTTCAAAATATTTGTACATGTACCATTGTTTTCTAAAGACTGTGAGACATTTCACAGTACCAAATTTGACATACTTTTTTGGAATGATCAGTGAGTTTCGCCTAAGTGCCATATTTGATGGTGCGCGGCTTTTGGAGCAAAAGTAGGTGTAAAACTAAAAATCGCGTAATTTTGTGCGGCGTAATTTATTGATTTTTGTCGTATTATTTTTTCATATCTTTGGTTTCTTGAAGTTGAACGAGATCATTCTGAAAATTTGCGAAGATCTTCCAATAGGGTTACTGCATGGGTGGCGCTCAGCCGGCCTGTCATTCCGCCAAATCTTTATTCGGACTCAATTTGACCGGTTTCACTAATTCACTCGCCATGGATTATAGGAAAAGCGCGCTATTTTGTATTTCGCATTGGATATAAAGATGACCAATGATATTGCAGTGTTTAAGTCACGTGCGCGTGATATAGCGCGCTGGCGTGTGATTGAGATCAGATACAAACTTTTGTTCCTTCCTCTTTTTCACTCGCTCTCTGCATTATGCCTTCTGATAAACCTATCGCTTGCAGTTTGTTGAATATCTCTGTCATCTGTCATTTGCCTTAAAGTGATACCCTTCTCGTAAGCTTTTTTTATGGTTTCAATGTCATGAGAGCTACATGCATCCAAGAAAAATGTATGATTTTAGTACTTTTCTATGTGGCACTGTTTACTGTTTTGTATTTTGCATTGTCGACCAGGACGAAAACCAATGTAACACCGAGTTGTAAACCTGACTAGAAAACATAATTAAAGAAATTACCGCAACCTCGCACGTTAATGTTTAATTTTGAACCTTAAAACTATTGAAAAGTTTAGAATCATTGCAATCATTTCTACTGTCATTATGCGACCAACTCCTCCCTCCCTCCCTCCCTCCCTCCCTCCCTCCCTCCCTCCCTCCCTCCCTCCCTCCCTCCCTCCCTCCCTCCCTCCCTCCCTCCCTCCCTCTCTCCCTCCCTCCCTCCCTCCCTCCCTCCCTCCCTCCCTCCCTCCCTCCCTCCCTCCCTCCCTCCCTCCCTCCCTCCCTCCCTCCCTCCCTCCCTCCCTCCCTCCCTCCCTCCCTCCCTCCCTCCCTCCCTCCCTCCCTCCCTCCCTCCCTCCCTCCCTCCCTCCCTCCCTCCCTCCCTCCCTCCCTCCCTCCCTCCCTCCCTCCCTCCCTCCCTCCCTACCTCCCTCCCTCCCTCCCTCCCTCCCTCCCTCCCTCCCTCCCTGTTAAATGGTATTTGGAGATATATCTCTAAGATAATCTTGGTTTAAGCTTTTTTATGTGTAATACATAGATTCGGGTGTAGGAACCAAGGCTCCTATTTGTTCTTTTAGAGCTCCACATTTGGAAATTATGAATTTGAGTGTACTCAGTGTTATAATTGTTTGGCGTCAGCTAGACTGGCATAAGTGGTCCGCACCCGACTAACAGCCAGCCCTCTGATTGGGCAGCGTGACTGCTATTCGATAGCTTATTGGCCAGATTGCGTGTCACGTGGTACCCTACAGACGTGTGTTCAAGTTAATTTGCAGTAGAAATTCAACTGGGATGTTCGGTTTATTCTTCTTTGTTACTCCCTGTTGGCATTCTTGATCAGCGCTAATCTCGAGGGTACCAATTACCACCATTATATATTATTGCTTTCCACTATTTGGCTTTGACTGAGAGGATTCAGAATGACATCAAGACCTAAAAACCTTAGGTTCTCAACTCTACTCAGGATTGTTGTATCATGTTATTGATTTTCTGGTCAATTTCCTGGCTTTTCAACTGGTTGCTGAGGTAATTTCATTGGATCCTCCTGTCCGGGACTCCGGACAGTAATAATGGCAGGTTTGTTACTATGTATTACTGATATAAGAGTCAATTTCGTTTTGAGCCTACCGTGATCTTCATTACATCTGCTATAGTGATACCCAGTGTTATAACAGGTAGTAGATAAGCTTACTGATTGTTCTACTATAGTAACTAGTAACTAGTAACAGTTCAGTAAATACACTTTTCAGTTCAGTAAATACGCTTTTCAATACGTTGTTGCTCGCTTATCAGTTACTTATCATTACGTTGATAAGACTTGCTTGTTTAACCGGTGCCGTGGTTGTGTGATGTATAAATCTGAGAAATACGTGGCTTATAAGCTTGATGAAGTGAGGGATGATGGAGCTGAATGGATCCGGAAAACTCTCGGGCTTGTTAAATCAAATCATGTTAACGCGTGTGTAGACTGTAGCTCAGGGTTTCATTGGTAGAAGAGAAATCACTAGGGAAGTCATGGCTCAGAGTCTCAATTCTGCGTTAAAAATTATGTATAGGCAATCATTGTACATTGATCAGATGGAGAAGTATAACCAGAAATTGCACTCCGATGTAATTGACAGCCAGGGGACAATAGTTGTATTGCAGAAAGAGCTGCTAGCTGTCAAAGACGAGCAGCTTGATTACTTGAAATCTGAGGTTGTAGCATCAGTTGAGAATACTGTGAAATCCGAGTTAAAGACATACAGCGCCGCGGTAAAGGAATCAAAAACCTCAACAGCAGGTCCTTTGCTGGATTCGGATAGAAACATCTTGAAGAATGTCATTAAGGATGTTGTAGCAGAAGGAGACCGAAGTCGGAATCTGATGTTGTTTGGTCTTAAAGGAGAGAAAGGTGAGCTGTTATGTGACAAGGTCGGTCAAGTGTTGTTGGAACTTGGTGAAAAGCCAAAAATAGAAGCTAGCAGAATTGGTTTGATCAAATCCAAGGATAAGAAACAGGTGGCTGATAGACCTGTTAAGGTGACTTTGACGAGCTCTACAATCGTGCAGCAGATTTTGACTAGAGCAAGGCATCTCCGTAGCTCGGAGCATTTCGGTAAAGTCTTTATCAGTCCGGATAGGTCTCCAGAGGAACGTGCCGAACAACAAAAGCTTGTTTTAGAACTCAAGAAGAGATCAAACGACGAGCCAGATATATAA